TAAAGAAAAATTGCATAGCATTGCCCCACAGATTAGAAACATTTTAAGGACTTTCTTCCTATCTTCCCAAGGATGTTGGCTACTTCAAGAAGCACCAGATAGGAAGAGATGAACCCAAGAACAGATCCCCTTTTTGAAATCTTGTATTCTTATGTTCAAAATGCAGCACAAAATATATTTTAAAAATGGTTTCATAGTTTCATAGTAGCTAGGGTCAGGAGGGACCTGAACAGATCAACTAGCCTGACCCCCTGCCACAGGCAGGAATGAATGCTGGGTTCACAAGACCCCAGACAGGTGATCATCCAACCTCCTCTTGAATTTGCCCAAGGTAGGGGTGAGGACCACTTCCCTGGGAAGTTGGTTCCAGATTTTGGCCACCCTAAGTGTAAAATATTGCCTTCTGATCTCTAACCTAAACCTATTCTCCATCAGCTTATTACCATTGTTCCTTGTCACCCCAGGTGGTGCTGGGGAGAAAAGAGCTCTGCCTATTTGCTGTTGATCTCCCCTGATGAATTTGTAGGCAGCCACCAGGTTCCCCCTCAGCCTCCTCTTGCTGAGGCTGAACAGGTTCAGGTCTTTCAGCCTCTCCTCGTAGGGCCTGTCCTGCTGCCCTCTCACCAAACGGGTGGCCCTCCTCTGAACCCTCTCCATAGATTCATAGATGTTAGGGTCGGAAGGGACCTCAACAGATCATCGAGTCCGACCCCCAGTCTGGCTATATCCCTTTTGAAGTGCAGTGCCCAGTACTGGATGCAGTACTCCAACTACGGCCTGACCAAAGTCGCACAGAGGGGGAGTATCACTTCTCTGGACCGGCTTGAGATGCACCTTTGGATGCATGACAAGGTATGGCTGGCCTTGTTGGCTGCGGTCTGGCATTGGCGGCTCATGTTCATCTTGGAGTCAATAATGACTCCAAGATCCCTTTCCGCCTCTGTGCTTTCAAGAAGGGAACTCCCCAGCCTGTATGTTTATGCTTGCAGAAGCAGGGGTCATTGACACTTAGGACTCTCTCCCTTAAACCCAGACATCACAATTGTTCTCTTTGTTAAATCTTTGCTGAGAAGCCAATGTAGCTTCACAACTGTCATTCTGAGGACTTTATTCTGATCTTGGTTACTCTGGCTTTATAACTGGGTAAGTTCATAAACCAGATCCAGACATGCAAGCACATGTGGTTTGTGGCACTGCAAACCTCTTTGCAGTGCTACAAACTGCACATGTTGCATGTTTAACCGTGCATGGCATGGATAATTAGCAGCATGGGCAAAATCTGCCACTGGGATTTCCTAGTAGCAATAAAACCTCTGGAAAAAAGTGACACACAGCATGCCCAAGTGCTACGTACTGGGATGACTGCAGAGAAGGGGGAGCAGGGAGCCCTGCAAACCACGTGATCAGGGACATGCACTGCAGCACAACAAAGTGGCACAAATTTGTGCCGTTCCGATTTGTGTTGCTGCAAATGCACGCCCCTGCTCATGTGGACGTGGCCATAGTATTTAATTAAGTTAACCTTTGATTTACAACTGGGTGAAATTAGTGTCGGGCTCTCCAGTATTGAGATTGTCAGTAGAGGGTACACAAAAGGACAGCTAGTTCTTTTTTTAAAAATGAATAAAGTGGGGAGATATTTTTAAATAAAATAAATACATGAAAGAGAGAACATGTTTCTATACATGGGCGACTAAATCAATCATCCTATCCAACATGTAGGATATGAAGAGGATGGAGAATGAAGAGGAACAGTATAAATGGAAAAGAAGAAGACAACAAATAGCATTATCAGGGAATGTAAACAACCCAGTGATGCATAAAGAATGTCCCTCATACAAAAAAAGGTCTTTCAAGGAAAAGAAAGAGCAGTGTTAACCAAAGGCAAGTGCTTACCTGTCGTTGTGTGCTGCAGTCCTCTCAAGCAGCATGAGCTGCAGTGATCTTTTTGGTTACAGGATACCATGCCACATGACATTTACTATTCCATGGGATCTCCCAAGAACAACTCTGTTTACTTTTAAAACCAGAGCCAGGTCCCCCATATTCAGTTAGCAATGATGACTGCATGATCTGAGATTCTTCAACTGGTAAGGAGATTTATTCCTTGAATTTACTTAACCTCACCCCCAAATTCCTTCCATCACTTCATCAGCTTCCCCAATGCACACATTTTTTCATGACTCTGAGAAACACATTTTCCAGGGAGAGGTGCAAACTACTTATGAAGTCTTGATCAACACACACAGCTGGGAGATTCCTTAGACAAGGATATAACTCCTTTACAACTAAGTACCTATGGCCCCACAAAGATGGCCCCACTGAGCTTTTGCTCTGCTCCTGCCTAGCCAAGTTGCACTATTGTGTAGATCAGGGATACACACTATCCCCATCAGTCATCTCACATCTGGTTCCCTTCCAATAATTAGGACAGATGATCTAAGTCACTGTACCAGGTCAGCAACATCATAGGGGTTTCGTTTGATTTCTGTTTGGCCGGTTTTTAAATAAAACCACCAGCAAAGCAGAAAAAATGAAAAATAAATTAGGAAAATCCTTTTTTCCCTCTACAATAAATAAATAAATGAATAAAAATCTTTAGAGGAAGAATATATTTAAAAATGCAAAAGTCTTAAACTATTAAAAATGCATGAAAGCAAAATGATTAAGAGAGATGCGGATGCTTGTGGGGAAACTTCAACAAAAACATTTGATTTAGAGACAGTTTTCCTGCTCTTCTAATTTTCTGCCTCTCTTTTTTTCTTTTCATTGCATGATTTTAATTTTTTTTATTATTACTAAGGGACATGGATTTGCATGAAAACAGAATTTTTGTTTCCTGCTCCTGTGGCTAATTCCCCACCTGAAGACAGAGCCCTATGTGGCAGAAACTGTAGCAATCAGCTGCTACCAGAAGGATAGCTGGATGAGGACATCAGATGCCACTAGCTGACAGGGGTGCTCAGATGACACCTTCATGAGCATTAGGGTAAAAGTGCTTTGATGGATGAAAGACTAAGCAGCAAGGAGGTGGAAAACTACTAGGAAACAAACAATCCCATTTTTATGCAAATGCCCTCAGTAGTGCTGGGTGGCAATTAGCAACCCCAGTTTGCTGGGGCTTGGGGAATTTTTCTCATGACTTTGCTTTGCATCCCTTGAATACAAAATTAAATCAAACCTAAGAGCAAAAAAGCAACTTAAACACTGGCTCCACCTTCAGGTCCATTAAACCAATCCTGCACTACACTGCACAGCACAGAGTGCTGAGTCTACAACCCACACCCACCTCTGTGCCACTGATTGCCTCATACCTGTGTACTCATCCATATTCAATGGACTCTGGAGCAAGCCTATGGATAATAAGAGGGCAGGTAAGCTGTCAGAGAAATGGAATGGCCACTGATGAGCCTCTTCCCACTTTGGGGTCTGACTGAAGGTGGTTAGGGGCTATTTCCTGTGTAACTGCTTACTTCTGCTTCAGTAGAGAGTGGATATGACCAGGGAGGGAAGCAAAACTGCCATCTGCTCAGGTGCGTACCTTCCCCTCCTGTAGCCAAAGAGTTTCTTGTAGTTTGACTGATACTATATATAAAACACTAAAATGTCTGGCTTCCAACTACAGTCCCAAATTAAGGCAACTGCCAAGGGCCTGGTTTGCTAAGAGATCCTGTCATTGCTGCTGCTGGCTCTAAGGTTTATTGCTTCACTATTGGCTGTAAGCAACCATGTTCATTTGAGAGAACGGAGTTCTCCGTGCTGTAAGAAAGCTCATGAAGTGACCCCACACAACATGTTCCTTCCTCCTCTTAGAGACGCAAAGATTTAGAAATACTCACCACACCATCTGAGCCACTGAACCCCCTTCCATGGAGCCCAGAATAGAGGGGAAAACAGCTCAGCAAGAAGTGTTGTTTTAATGAGATAAGCCTCAAATAAAACCTTGAGTCCAAACTATCCCAGATTTGGAGGCTTATTTTCCTGGTTTGGGGCTTGGATTTAATTTCAACAAGTTCTTATCTTGTCATTTTTGAAACAGGGCAGGAGAGGTTTTTTCTGCTGTGCTACAGAGGATTTGAATTAGATGGTGTCTTTAATGTTTATACCTTATAGAATTTCTAAGCTTCTTCCGGTCTCATAAGGTACGTCTACGCGAGATGCTTACTACACAGTAGTCTAATAACACTGTGCAGTACTGTGCTGGTCAAAAACCCTGCGAATAAGCTACTGCCCAGTGTTATTAGGCTATTGTGCAGTAACCATGAAAAAAAAAACATGCATCAGCGCTACTGCTCAGTAAATGTAGTTACTGAGCATTCAATTAGTATTTCATTAAGGAATTACTAAACTAAACACACAGTAACTACTGCGCATTAATGAACATATAGACATGCCCACAGAAACTAAAAGGGTATCACAGCTTCATTGTCAACTAGGTTTTGTCACAGAAAGACAAGGTGTTGAAGCAGCCTGCTAGATACCACCATACAAACTAAGGACTTATTCTCTCCTCCCCATCCCACTACCCCCTTAAAATATCATTGGAGAAATAGCAGATTAAGCAGCCACCACTGTGACTCAAACACAGTTTTTTAATAGCAGTGTCTTTTTTGGTAGTGGAGAATTGCATACAGTACCTGTTGTTGCCCTTTTGTGTTCTTTACGTGTTTCCCCAAAGACAACAGGTTACTATTGAAATACATTTTCAGCTCATCTGGTTCCCCAGATGCTTTTCTGCAAAGCCATGAAACAACAGTTCATCTCCTCCGTGGAGAAACCACATACAAAACATTCACATATCACCACAAAATCTATCTATCCCTCCACCCTGAACCCCAAATCCCACCCAACTTTTGATTTCAAGTATATTTAAAACAAATAAGAGAGGGAAAAAATAAAAAGGAAAAAGAAAACAGCTTATAAAATAGCAAAGGAAATAAAGTTAATTTCTTTTTTTAAATATATATAGAGAACAAAATGAAACTTGAGGGAAAACTTACTGGCGTTACAGTTTATCCTGATACAGTCTAGATGGGGAAAAATAAATGAAAGATGAAATTGCATCCTTCAAGGTAACAGCTGCAGACATCCAAAAACAATCAGTCCACCCTTCCGGGGACAGACACACGCAAAGAGATGTGGCCATTTTATATTTATATACAGTCTGTACAAGGCTAGGAGTGGGTGTATATGCACAGTATATTCTGTAGAAATACCAGCTACATATAAATATATATATATATATATATATACAAACACACACACATATATATATATATACACACACACATATGTATAAAGAAATATACTGATATACATATATATCCACATCGACACAGAAAAGTTTTCTTTTTAAGGGAACCTATGCATCTAAGATTATCTACTGCTTCAGACCATGAACTGATGTTAATTAAAAGAAAAAAAATTGACAATTAAGGCACAGAAAAAATCTCCCTAAAAATGCAAGTCATACTCCAGTGTCATCTCTGTTTTTTAAACCTTCTGCAATTTCTTTAAGAAGCTTGAAGTCTAAAGGCAACCTTTACACTTGGTTTCTTTTGAATTAATTTGTATTGTTATTGCATAAATACACCATCTGTCCAACACAGTATACCTGGAAAATCAGTCTAGCAAGGTTTGTTGGTGCAATATTTAACTCTTTCCACCTCTCTTAAGGACAGACCCCCTCTTCATTCCCCCTAATGTTAGGCCAGAATGCTTTGAAAAAAAATGTGCACAGGCACACTGCCACTGTCCATTCAGGTGAGGAAAGGGTTAATGTACTGCCCACTTGTGTCCTATCATAAAATGGCCACTTGCAAACTGCTAACCGCACGAACGCCCAGCCCAGATTTCAGCTAGAGTTTGGAGCTGGGAGATATTTTTGACTGGTTGATGGGTGAGTGGTTTTTGTTTCAAAGGTCTCCAGCCCAGCCAGTTCCTCAGAGCCCAGACTCATCTTGCCGCCTCAATGTTAGTACTGAATGAGACTCTTGTAACATTCAGGCAGAAGATGAAACGAGCAGTGAAGTGGCAGGTCTGGGAATCTTTGACAGCCCTACCTGCTTCGTTCAGGGGCTCCAGACAGAGGGATGGGGAAGGGGAGCACAGAGAGAAAGAAAGAAAGGAAAAGAAACAAAAGGAACCAGAATAATATTTGTTTTAGCCAATAAGTAGTAACCAAAGAGACTGCACATAGAAAACATCCGGCCATGCAGGGGCCTGATGGAGAGCTTCTGACCACCCGCTCCTCCATTGTAACATACTGTAAATTTTAGGGGCTCAGCATTGACTCAGGGTGAGGCCCTTAGCAGGTTCTCGCATATAAAGGTGCCTGCTCTGATTCTAGGGAGTATGAACTCTCGCCCTGGTGGTGTCCAAGTTGAGCTTAAGTTAGCACATCATGGTGGCAACAGGCATTTTTGACCATGGAGATCTTCTCTAATGAGAGATCCAAGCTGGGGACCAAAGCTTCTTCGTTCTGGACACCATGTAGGTCAGCCTCTATCAGGTAATAAAATCCATGCCCAGTAGAGCTGACAGTCTTTAACACAGAGTTATGGCCCAACAGTAACAGATATACAGAAAGTGACAGAGGAGAGAAATTGGCAAGGACAAAGAAGTGGAGAGGGCTAATTTTGCTGCATATGCAAGCCAAATACTTTTTATTGCAAAGGGTGCAATAAGGACAATCCTTTCATCAACTGAAACTAAAGGTAATTTTTAAAAACAGAAAAAAATGGGGAGGAAGAATAAGATTCTATAAATAAAGAGTCAGAGTGATTAGGGACATACCAATCAGGAGCAACAAAGCCAGAGAGAGTGTTCCTAAGCAGAATTTCTCTTAAGAAAATCTGGGTTTGGTTTTGTGCGATTAGGTTTGTCATGTGTCGTCAACCGCAACAGAAAAGTGGGAGCAAACAGCCCTGGAGCAATTGGTACGATCACCATGCAGTGGTGGCTATATCCCTTGCAGGGGTTGAAGTAGGGTGAGGGCAGCTTTCTGTAATATACAGGAGGGAAACCAACTGTCTTTTTCTCTCTGACCAGAGCAGAAGAGACAGAGAGAGGGGGAAGAAGTAAGCAAATATGAAAGAGAGAGAGAGACCAAGAAAAAGTAGTATTGCTAGATCAATAGGGTTTTTTTAAGGACAAAGTATTAAGCGTGCTATGGAGAAACATGGCAGTGTTCCGAGTTCATTTGTCAAATTTGGAATCTAAACTCTCTGACCGATACGTTATTGATCTGCATAGAGAAGCTTTGCTTCTTTATACAGGGCTATTGAATTATTTCTGTGGGAACTGCTATATCAGATGGGGAAACCAGTGCTTTAGAACTGAAACAAATGTGATCACTGATCACTAGATTGGCTGGTAAATGTTTGCTTAAATGTACAAAAAGAAACCATGCCATTTAATGAGTTGCCAAAGGAGCTTCAAAACTGTTCCTACAGCACTAAATTGCTAGTCTCTGAGAACCTAAGAACAAAATGGGTGTGTCTACATCTGCATTTAAGCCTGGCTAAATTTAATGTGCATTAAGCTAATGCACATTAAGCAATTTTTGGCAGGTGTCTACACATGCAGGGACTTGGCACCAAAGTTAGCAGCCCTGCCATGCAGCCCTGCATCCCTGCCATGGGCCCGTAGTGGCTGGGCAGACCCAGTACTAAAGTTAGTGCCAGGTCGCAACTACATGTGTGTTAATGCGCTTTAACTAATCACGCCTAAATTTGATATCTGCATTTGCAGGTATCAAATTTAGATGCAGTTAGTCAAATATCACCATTTTTAATTTTAATTTTTAACCCAACTGACCAAACTACTCATTTGGTCTAATAAAAGATATGACATCTACTCAAAGAACCTTGTCTGCCTATGTCCTTAGACCAATACAGCTACAATAAAAAAACCACCATTTTTAATGCACATTAAGGGCGCTGATGCGTAGACGCATACCCATAATGTGCATTAAATTAGGCTAATGCACATTAACGTATCTCGTGTAGACACACCCAATGTGTCCCAGCCTCATCTTCTCTCTCCAGAGCATAAACCAGTGACAGGCTACCTTTTGGTATCAACAGCAGCCCTAATGAAAGTTTCCAAGGCAAGCTTTTGCATCAGAGGGATTCCCACTCTTCTTCAGGTATAGCAAAATATTAACTGAATCTCTCAGATACATAAAAAACTCAAAGTACTTTACTTCCTTCCCAAGAGCCCTAGTTTTGACCCACAGCTAAAAAAAGAGTTAATCTATCACACGGGAAACTCTTTTGTCCTTCTTACACCAGTTTTAAGAAGGTGCAGAATAGCTCCTCTCTTTTAAGCCAGAAAAATATTGCAGCGTGCAAAGATGCTTTTCCTGGCAGTGGGGTGGAAGGCATGTGTTTAAAAGCTTTAGATTATATGCCAGGACCATGTAACCAAAGAAACCACAGCAAGGGAACTTAGTAGTAATTAAGAAAATTGTCTGGGATTCCCCCACATTTGCACTGGTGCAATACGGCTTTTGGTAATCCTTGCCTAGGGTATACTGTAATTGAGTTTTACTAATGGGATTTGCTTTATTCCAGTCTGGCTGACTTCCTAACTTAAAAGGGGTTTTCTGTTCCTTTCGATTTTGAAGGTGTACATGACCAGAACAGCTGTTGATCTAGTCAACTGCTAAGTTCAATCAGTGAGTGAGATGTCTGGAGGGTAAAGACAAAGTCAGAAAGCAATGTGTTCATAAATGGAGACCTGGAAGAGCCAGCCTGGTGTTTTTATCTCATTACTGTTCCTTTAGTAAATCAGAAGCTTCACAACAAGTGTTCAACAAACAGTCTCTCAGCCCTGGAATTTCATGAGAATGTCACTTTTACTGGGGTCTAAAGGTTCTTCTGTTCAGATTGTTAATAGCTCTGGTATGATGGACTAGAATTAAAGGAACTATCAGCATGAGATTTAAGAGAAGGGCAAATGTGCAGAGGCAGAGGGGACAGGAGATATGAAAATTGAGTTGGTATAGGAACAAAGAACTGTGAATGATGGGCTCTGAAAGCCAAAATGGACCTTTTGCACTGTAGGGGCAGAATTCATTCTTTATATCTTCCCCCTGATGTCTCCCATTGATGCGGTCCTGTTTGCTTGTGAGAAAACTTTGTTGCATGTGTTGCTCCCCTCCCTTGACACACTTACTGCTTGAGGTAGCCCCATTTTCAGTTATATGGGGATGTGAGAATCATACTTGCTTGTGTGTCCTTGTGTTTATCTCTGTGAGATGTGGATCAGCCTGTCTGTGAACAGGAAATACTAAGAATCCCCACGTTTGCAGCCTCGGGTGCGAGTGTGTGATGGATTAGCAGGAAGAACATTTGGAAATGCAAACTTCACACCCTAGGCCCTTCCTGAGAATGGATGGTGTGAGAAAATATAGGGGCTCACAGTCCTTTCTTCTTATCATAGATAATCACTCCTACATCTGGAATGATGAGAGAGCCACAAAAAAGGGCACCTCAGTACAGAAACAGTCACCCACTTTACATGTATTGCTAAGATATGAGAGGTAGTTCACCCAGCATTGTTAAAGGCATAGGGTTGTTCTTCCAAATCAGTGACAGGAAGCATCCTATGCATATGGGTTGATGGAGAATGGATCTCCATATCTTTCAATAAGGTACAGATCTGACTGTAAAAGAACATTTGTGAATGGGAAGGATGAGATACAAAGACAGATTTATGAAAGCCTAGTTACTGCTGCACGGAAGGCGCATCTACATGAGATGTTTACTGTGCAGCTGACTAATTAACTGCACAGTAAATATCTTGGCATCTACGTGTGCCTGTTAGGGTGCACAAAACTAATAAACTCCACAGCAGGGTGGTACTTGGAAAATACAAGTAGTACCCTGCTGCAGTTTTTTCATGCACAGCAGCGCACATGTAGAGGATGCCCTGACTGGCTGGGGCACAGGATGCTTCAGTGCAGGACTAGCCGGCAAGAAGCTCATGCGCTGAAGCACCCTCATGCCTCAGCAAGTCTCTCCACAGCATGTGAAGCCCAGTCAGAGAAGCCCTAGGTTGGCAGGCTGACCTTCTGGGTCCCCTGCCAGCCTGGACTGCTCCAACTGGGCTCCATGTGCTGCTCACGAATAAACTCCAGAGCAATATGCTCCAGCAACATGGTCTTTGGTCCCAGGTGCACGTTCAAATGGTGGGAGCAAAAAGCTCTGGAGCAATAAGCCCCAGAGTTTTTTCTTGCACATTAATTGCATGTGTAGAAATACCCACAGGGTGTCAACTACTCTAGGAAACCTGGAAATAAATTGAAAACACAGTGACTGCAAGGTGTGGTGTGTACACTGATCATGAAAGAGAAAGTCCATTGCTAGTGTAAAATAAAGTAAGGATTGTGGGATGCTAAGACCAGATGTGTCTGCCTGGGCAGGGTGCTGTAGTGTGGCGTATGTAGGCCGAGTGAAATTGGATGCAAAAAGGTCCCTGTACAGCTAAATGGATGCAAAATGGGACATTGTGCATCAATGTGTGTGAAAGAGTAAGTGTTGCCTATGTGATTAGTTTGAGTTTGTTTTGTGTAATGATGTATAAAAGCATTCACGTAGATGTGTGTGTGTGTGTGTGTGTACACGTGTGTGTGTGTACACACGTGCATGCATGCGCACGATACAGTACGAGCTGTATGATTAACTATTTCTTCTGGGAAGTGAGGAAGGAAGTATACGACCTCACTGACGCTGAATGACTCTGAACTCATGGCCACTGAGTCAAATACCTCCCAGGGGCAAGACAGAAATAGCTGTCTTAGAAAGCTAAAGGCGTCATTGGCACCCAGGGGAACAGAGCTCAGACAGAGGGAGGTATGATAGGCTGTGCTCTCCTGTAGGAGTTTGAGTCAGATGAGCTGGCTATATGCTGTAGTGGAGGCAGGAATTATGTTCCAGTCACCAGCACTGAGAGTGATTTTAGAAGACGAGGAAATAGGAGTTCGAAGTTCTTAAACACCCACAAGTGGCAGCACAGCCCACTTGGCAAGGGCTGGGCATTGGATAAAGGTGGTTCTTCTGATTGGTCAGTTCTCTCTCTTTCTGCCTCTCAGCATTGGACTTGCAGAGGTGATTCCAAAGCATGTTTTGGAACTCAATTCTCTCTCTCTCCTT